ACCGGGTGAAAGATCGTTCTTTGATTCCGCTAAAATACAAGATGCAGAAGAAGGAGTTGCTCAAGTGAAGGAGAATTTGAGAATTGCACAAAGTCGATACAAGAGCTATGCTGATAAAAGGAGAAGAGAACTTGAGTTCAATGTGGGAGACTTCGTCTATCTCAAGGTATCGCCGCTATGTGGGACTGTCAGATTCCATGTGAAAGGGAAGCTTGCCCCTAGATTTGTTGGCCCATACAAGATTTGCAAGAGGATTGGAAAGCTCGTCTACAGACTTGAGCTACCTGAGGAATTGACGGGAGTACATCCCGTATTCCATGTCTCACAGCTACGCAAGTGTTTGAGAGTGCCCGATGAAGTAGTTCCAACTGAGACACTTGACATTCAAGATACACTTGAGTATAAAAAACATCCTATCAGAATTCTGGGCAGAGATACCAAAGAGACCCGAAGCAAGACTATTCCTATGTGCAAGATCCAATGGAGTAATCACACTAAGAGAGAAGCAACATGGGAGAAAGTGTCTGACCTCCGGCTACGATATCCTTACCTCTTCGAAGAGTATGTTATGCTTTAATCTCGGGGACGAGATTCTATTAAGTGGGTAGGACTGTAACAACCCAAAAATCCACACACCAAAAATCACAACTACAAAAATTTTTCTTCAAAACCCCATGTGATGATGAGTGTCATGTATAGAAACCCAACCTAAGAGATGCATTAGGTCTAACCCCAACCCAAGTCAACACATAAGCATGGCATGTCATTTGTTAGTTATGTTTATTTAATTTCCAACAAACAAAGTGTTGCATACATTGTTAACTAAAAGGGTGATTTGGATTCCCAATTGCTTTATGTTATGCTTAACAACTTCTTTAAAGAAATACACCATAAAGTAATTAATACTCAAACTAGGGAATAAAGGTTTAAAGAGAAAACAAATTCTATTTTTTTGTATAACAAAACTACACCTATTTTTGTTATACAAAATAGCTAAATAAATTCCTAATATTTATATAAGTATGTGGTGGGTCTCATATCTAAAACTCCAATGAATTTGGTGCACCCATTTTGAATTCAAATACCCAAACCAAATTTGAATTCAAATCAAGGAAAAAGAAAAAGAAAACAGAAAAAGGAAATGAGGAAGAGGGCCTCGCAGCCGGCTCGGCTTGCTCGGCTTCACGGCCCAGCCAGCAACCGGCCAGCCCCGCCAGCGTGCAGCAGTAGGCCGGCCCACGAGCTCGCGCAGGCCCAGCAGCCAGCCGCACGCCCGCGCGCCCTCCGCTTCGCCTGCCGTCACTGCCTGCCGAGCCCCACCCGTTAGTTTTCCCCTGTTCATCTTCTCCACGCCACGCTCAACCGCCCGCGTGACCAAGGGCCGACAGCGGTGGCAGGGGCGGGCCAGGGGGTCATGCCCGGGGCATGACCCTGTCCCCCTTGCGCCGCGCTCACGCAACCCCGCGCCACCGTCTGATGTGGTGCACACGCCTCCACCGCACAATGCCGTCCGCCATGGGGGCTCGGAGCTTCGGCTGTAAAGCCACGGCCCATGGTTGCCCTAGTGCTCGTCCCATCGCCCCGCCGCCACTTGGTGGCCAACCACTTCACATCAAGAATAGAAGGCTAAGGAGGAGTTCTGGAGAGGAGGGCGGAGCCGCTGCCGGGAGGAAGACCGGGAGCACGCCAGGGTTCGGAGCACCGCCGCGGATCAAGCCGGAGCGGATGACACTGCACGGCACTGCTTCCGGAGCTACACGGCCACGACCTATCACTGCACCACCATCCTCTCGCCCTCAACACCGACGGTGAGCCGTTCGCCGCTGAGACCTCCTCCTAAGCCCCATGGACACGAGCACGCACGGGCGCACACCGTAGACACGCGCACGGCCATGGCGAAGCCACCGCGGCCGCATCACCGCAGTAGAAGCGACGCCATCGCCTTGGCCGGCTCCCTCTCGCCGTGGAAGATGCCACGCTCACGATCAGGATAGACGTAGGTCACTGGAGGACCCCAGAGGCCACACCACGCCATGGCTGGAGCACCGCCGCCACCGCGTCGACTCCACCGTGGCCAGGTCCGCTGGGAGCGCCTAGCGTCTCCTTGTCTCGCCCATCCTGTTCGCTAGAGCCATGGGTAACTCTCGCGCACGTCCACGACTGCCCTGACCGTCTTGCCAAGCCCTGAAGAACCGACCACCGCACGCCAATGAGCACCGCCACGCCGGTTCGTCGTACACTGTGACCACCCTGCCTTGGGCCCTGGACGCCCTCACCGTGCTTCCACGGACCCACAGAAGCTCTTGGCGCTCACCGCCGACGGAAGCATGCCAGGGAGGAAGCAGAGGATTCATCCTCGCCGGCCACACACGCGCGTGCACCCGGTTCACGAAGACCGCAACGGAGGAGATGAAGGGGGGACTCGGTCCACCATGAACCATGTCTTAGGTCCATGGACCGTGAACCTGCGTCCACCATGAACCACGCACCGTGAGCCAGCACTGTGGATGAAGCCCAGTAGAGGCCCACAGCTACGACGTGGCAGCGTCACAGCCTACCACGTGTCTGGCCCGGCCCGGCCCAGGCCGGCCCAAACCGAGCCCACCAGAGCCCGTTTGAGACCCGGCCCATGTTGACCGTTGACCGATCAACGTCGACCGTTGACCTGGCCCCACATGTCAGCGACATCGAGTCACTGGACCCACTTGTCAGTAGGTGACGTCATGCTGACCTCGTGACGACGTCACGCGGGACCCACACGTCAGACGCCAACACAGCCAGGGTGACGTCACGATGACATCAGCTGCTGATATCAGCAGCCCTGGCCCCCTACGTCAGTGACCCTGACCGTTGATCGTAGACCGTTGATCGTAGACCATTGACCGTTGACTCGCTGTTGACTGACGTTGACTTTGATCGGACCCACATGTTAGTGACCCCAGAGCTCCTGGACCCACCTGTCAGAACTGATGACGTTGCTGACGTCATGCTGACGTCAGCTGGACCCCACCTATCAGCACGGAACCGAGACGATGACGTCATGCTGCCACGTGGACCAGTCACAGCGTGACACGTGTCAGCCCATGATTAATTCAGCTTTTTTCATTTTCAAAAATGATTTAAACTTCGGAAATTCATAACTAATTCATATGACCTCAAAAAAATATGAAACCAGGACCAAAATTCATCTAAAATCGAGCTCTACGCAATGAACCTATGTTTGAGTGCATTTGGCTCTTTTGAATTTTCATTGCTTCTTTATGCTATTCTATAGACGTCGCTAACGCGACTATAATGCGATCGTTTGCAGACTCGGAGGAGAACCGGACGGACGAGGATCGTAAGTACCGTGAGGAGTACAGAGACAACTACACTGAAGGTGCCACATCCCAGCCAATCTCATAGCACCTATTACGCATGGCTAAAATAGAAATGCTAGTGCCTTACTTTATTGTTATGATCACACCATGATAGGACTTGCATGGTAGTACGCTTTCTTGATGGCCTTTACCTTGACGCAACCTTGCCCCTGCTCACCCAGCTGTTAGGCTAGTCACACGCTTGCTACTATATTTCATTGCTTATTACTTCTACTACGCTTGCACTACATTGGTGCGTGGTGGAAAACTTGTGTTATCTGGACTATGGGGAGAGTGCTGCGTGTGTGACTTGGGTGCGTGGAGGGTGAGGGTTGTGTCGACCAAGTTAGAGTATACGACAAGCCTAGGGCAAGTCTTGTCGTAGGGTGCTACCTGGGCACCCCTAGAATGGATACCTGTGGTGGGTAAATGGTATATGAGGTGGCCCTAGGTGTGATCCTGTGATGGGAGGAGCCTAGGGTGGAGGTGCTGTGGTGGCACGGTAAATGGAAACCCTGATGAAGACATTCTGGCTTGGTCATCCCTAAGGACTTACTAGTACTCAGATTCACCGGGAAGCCTTACGTACCACTCGCCCTATATGGTGCGGGACGGCCGGACTACTTGGTAGGGTATTGCCACTACTGCTAGGTTGATAGCGGACAGTGTGAGGGAGGTACGGGGTGCGGAGGATTCCCCCCACACCCTTCTGAGACTTCATGGAGACCTTGTGGACCCGGCTCATGACTCACAGTTTCAGCCACCCCAGACCGGACTTGGGGTGTACCAGGGCTGAATGGTAGAGTGGCATTACCCTAGGCTAGCAAGCGGCCGGAATCAGCCCAGTTGACGACGGTCAGCGAGGAAGGCGGATCTTATGGTTATGTAAAACCTCTGCAGAGTGTATGGTTGATCGATCGATACATATGCTGACTTGTCGGCTATGGACTTTTCTTGGGTTTCGCTTAAACTAGATAGTGAGATGAGTCCTTCTCTTCTCCCCCTGGGAGTGAGTGTTCGGACGTAGCCAGGGGCTACGGGCCTTGAGACAGTGCCGAGAGGGAGTTGGCCTATCGACTGAGCGATGGTATGGGTGTGGTATGGTGATCGTGTGGAGATGGTGGTATATCGATCCCAGGATCGACACCTGGCTCTGGAATGGGAATGGGGTGGAATGGGTGTGGGAATGGTGCTAAAACTTGATCAACTGATAATATATACTTGAAATGCTAATACATAGGAAACCCCAGCCTTATAGGTTCCTTTTGATTATATCCAACTTGCATCCAATTTCCACAAAGAAATGCTCATAGGGTGGGAGTGGCCAGTACAAATCGTACTGATAAATTTTGGCACACAGGTTCTACTGAGGAGTATAGCTCCGAGGAGTTTGACGGTTGAGGGGTTTGTTCCTACGCTCGAGTTTGGCAATCTTATCTTCAAGCTGTTCTCAATGAATGCTAATTTTGATTCCGCCAATGCGGCGATGTAATAATTTATGTAATTCCGCGCTATTTGTACTCTAATATTATCGTTGTATGGATGTGATATTCGACTGGAATTTGGGTAATATGATCTACAACGGTCTTATTACACTTCGACACTGTGGATTTCCTTTCACAGAAATCGGGGTCGCTTCACCTAGATCACACACGTGTGACGGACGAGGGCAGTCGCGGCTTGTGATGGGAGGGCGACGCTGACGGCGACAGCGTGGGTGCGACGGCGAACGATGCCGACGTCCTCCTCATCCTCCTCCTTCTTGGCCTCCTCCTCACCCTTGGTAGCGGCAGCGGCAGCAGCAGTGACCACGGCGTCGGCGGCTCCAGAGCACGCATAGGCGAGCTGCTCCCAACCCGTGGCGATGAGCCTGGTGATGTCCTTGCCCTCCATGAAGGCGAAGAGTAGGTTGAGGTGGTCCTCCATGGCACCGACAGAGCCTAGGATGCGGCGCACATCATCCTCGGTCGGGAGCGCCCCGTCGTTGCCTCACATCGCCCGGCGGCGCCCCGTCCGCCGTGGCCTCCCGACGCCTAGAGGCGGTGCGCCTGCAGCGGCCTCATGTCAACCGGCGGCGGCTAGGGTTACACAAAGGCCGAGGAGTCACGTGGAGGGGAGCGCGGGCGAGGGCACCAGGAGGGGGGCGCGGGCCCGAGAGGCGTCGAGGCGAGGGTTGGGGGACTCACGGAATCGCAAGCTTGGAGGACGTCCCACCTGCCGGCGCCGCGGGATCGTAGGTGTGGGCAGACGGACGAACCAAAACAAATGTCGCACCAAAAAATATCCACACTTTGTTCTTTTTAGTTGTAGGAGACTAGAGAGAAAATGGAGCGCACGAGTCTTTGGCTTCTGTAAGCAAGGAGCAACTTGCAAGTAGGGTCGCGTAGCTGAGCTCAATTTCTTTTCTTTTCTTTTCTTTTTGTATAACAAATGTAGCAGAGCTCAGTTTCTGCGGGTGCAAGATTCATATTGAGTTGCGCCCTCCCTATCATTCAAGGTTGCCCTTTGGCTTTTGCGAGTACTAGGTAGCGTGCTCGTGCGTTGCTACGGGACAACTAAACTTTTGTACTAAAAACACACGGATTGCACGATAAGATAACAATACTGTAAGACATTAAACTGACATTTAATCTAAAAGGCAAAGTTTATGAAATTAACAGTCACTAAGAGCACGGCACCGCAGGCTCACAAACTCTACTATATAGAACTTTCCGTGATACGGCTAAAATAATGTTTTATATCGGCAAGAAGTCTCCGATATTACAAACTAAATGAATCAATCAAATATGTCAGACAAACATTGCTCAATCCACATATTGGTGACTTGAAACCTATTACATAATTGATTAGTGTACCTGGTTCATGCCAATTGCTTGAAGTGCTTCTCCAGCGAAGATTATGGCATGATTTTGATTACTAGGCTTGCCTTCTCCAACCTCTGTTGGTTTACCGGGGAACCTTATCCGGTAGATTTCCTTACAACAAAATAAATATAAATTGATTCTAGTACACCAGCAAGGTAGCAACACTAAAGGGCATACCCAGTGCAGATAGCTTCCGCTCTGTGCGGGGTCTGGGGTAGGGTGTCAGTGGCAGTTTAATACATTCATGTTCTCTAGCTAAATGATAGCGACACAAAGCTACAGCTATTCATGGTCTACATTCTTCTAAGTTGAAGGACAGTTCTCATACTGAGCAGTGATGAAGGATATATTCAATCAGTTGTCTGAGAAAACGATCCTGGCAGGCTGTCGAAAACATAAGAATATTCAGGGAAACAAGGCCATTTTGTCGTATAGTAAAATATATTGAATGGACATGTAGGTAAAAAAGTGGCCCATTTTACACATTTTTTTTAACAAATCAGTCTTTTATAAACAGATACTCCTCTTTTGTGCTGCGGCCATCAGAAACTACAATATCTTCACTCTATAAATGTCTAAATAAACATGCGTGATAAATTTAAGTAGAAGCAGAGGAAAAATATTTATGTAATAGTTTTATTGGAGCATAAAGCACACTGTAAACTATTCAGTACCAACTTCTTTGACAAGAAGGGAACTAACAGGAATAAAACGTCGCAATATAGATTGGAAATTTATTCTCTCAATATTACAGTAGGCTTTGCTCACTTTTTTTTCAGACCCTAGGGAATACTATTGTGATTTTTAAGAACCCAAGGTAGAATGCAATAGTAGCGGCAATAGTTGACATGGTATTATGGTATCTAAGACAATGGGCATATCGGGCAAGCAAGAGCATCCATGCATGGGAAGCAGCAGAAGATGCCAATTCTCAGCCTTCAAATAGTCACTCATTCACCCACAAAAATTAGTAAAAAATGGTAAGCCGACATTAGCTACATGTAATGAGGTAGTAAGGATAGACTTTGGCATGGCCGATTATGAGGTGTGGTACACATATTTGCCAGGTGACCAATGATAAAGTCACGGGAGGTATGGAAATTGGAGTAAAAAAACAAAAGCGAAGGCGTGGCACACAATGATGTATCCAAATTAACCTAGGATAATTTTCAGTCCAAAAAAATGAATATGTAAATGTAAATTAATGGAGAGAAGCACACACCTTCCATTTTAGAATTTTCACAGTGCTGCTGTGAAATCCTGCACGACCATCCTGGTTTGAAAAGCAAAAACCTGCAAATACAAATCTTTGTTTTCAAAGTTAACATGTGCGTTATTTGAAGCATGAGCCAAGGAAGGCCACCTTATCATACACAGCAGCTGACGCCTGTGCATCCCCCATCCTCTCATTAATCCTTTGCATCATCACCTAAGGAGGAAGGGTACTGAGCGGTTAGAACAGTGCAGAACTGAATTACAAATGCACAAATGAAATCACAGATCTCTTGGTCGCTAAGTGGAGACATCGAGAAAATCAAGAAATCATGCTGCAAGTTGACTGCTATAAAAATGATTGCCTGCTAATAGGTCTAAGAAAATGGTTTAGGCAGCCTCTAGATGAGATGAGACTTCCCAAGTGTCCAGAATAATAAACATGTGAGAAAATGAATATAGCGGGATCAACAATTATGTACTCAGTCCATACAGAAGAGAACCGTTGAGCTTGACATCCATGAAGAGCAACTAATACAGTGAAAACTGAGAACGCATTGGAAAAGTTGAAGGTGGCACAAATGTGCTGACCCTGAACTTGTAGTAAGATGGAAAGGAAAGGAGACCACCTGACCCTGCGACTAAAAGCAAGGAGTTCATGTAGCGGAAACGTACAGTACAAATTTATGTGAATATGTGAATAAGCGAAGGCTGTAAATGCAGGAAATAATTTTGCAAACATAAGGGGAGGACGCAACATGTAGAAGGCAAAAATACAAATAAAATTAAAAGTATAAGTATGTTACCTCAAGAACAGTGTAAACAGGAAACTCTGTTTTTTCACAGAAATATTGTAATAAGCACCACCTTGATTAATCGTTTGGATTCAATGAGACCCAACACAGGTGTGGTAGATACATACCTGAGTAAAAGCACATCTATATAAACCAGATCACAGTGATATAAAAGAAAACCGAAATAAAATATATGCCAGCAGCGGCAGGAAAAGAAGGTAAATAAAACCATGAAGCAAAAACTGACAATTGTGTTTTGTTGTATAGATTTGTACAAAACCTGAAAGACGCTATTCTCTGTTGATGTATTCTACGCTATAACTGGTTACCAGACAGGTGTTGTAGACCATAGTGACCAACTAATTCTGTGAATATGCTTCTAATATAACTGTATCATAACTAAAATATGACCTCAGACTGAAATATTACATTACTGGCCCTCATCAAAAAGGAAAAATGTAGGGCTTCGTTTGTTTCACCTTTTTATGTTGAATTGTCAGTTTTAGCGGCCCCTTCTGGTTCAAAAGACGTCCTATGACTACTAATAGTTATCGCCTTCATGTACATGAACAATGCAAAGTAACTGAGGCCTAAACAATACAAACTAATTGAGGCGTGAACAAAGGCAATAGTGCCATCATCCGCAACCTGAGTGGAAATAGCTAATTAGCTTGGGAAAGTTTTTTTTGTTGAGTACAGTACCTGCTCAGTGCCTTCATTGCTGAATATTTTTGTTTATAGCTCTCAAAATATATTAGCAAGTGTCAATTTTAGCAAGTATTGCTATGAAATTGCCAAAGTTCAACCAAGATGTCAACCAACAAAACTACAAAGAGGCAAGAACCAATATAGGATAGATCAAAGATGTCTATGAACTTTAAATATATAGGATAGATTAAAGAGAAGAGGCAAGAATCAATGACCGAAAATTAGATAGGGCAAATGAACAACTTAATTCTGTAGGTGCGAACCAACAAAATTATAAACCTATTATTTATTACAAAACTTAAATGATCAACATCTTGAGCTTGGAACTTCAAAGCATTAGCAGCATCATAACATGAGATCACTACCAATCATCATTTGTTCGTCAACTTGGAGCTTTAAGGCATGCCAACAACTGGGTTAGTCTCAGAAATTGCACAATATAAGTAGCAGGTCATGCCTAGTACCTCACAAGCAAATGAACATCAGATCGTATCTTTGAGCAATGGGTATGGAATTTTCATCATAGGCTGAAGAAGGGAAAAATGGCAAAGTGGAGAGCGCTATAGAAATAGGATATAAAACTGCAGCGCCTATATACAACTATAACGGCAAAGGTAACAAATTTTTTTCTTAAGATGAGATTTTTTAGAGGCCTCAGAAACATACCAATCATCATTTGTTCATCAACTTGGAGCTTCCAGGCATGCCAACAACTGGGTTAGTCTCAGAAATTGCACAATATAAGTAGCAGGTCATGCCCAGTACCTCATAAGCGAATGGACATTAGATCATATCTCTGAGCAATGGGTATGGAATTTTCATCAGAGGCTGAAGAAGGAAAAAATGGCAAATGGAAAATGTTCAGGTCATAACCAATGAGAAAATTAATCCAAGCAGAACAAGTGGTGGGCACACAAATCTTAGTAAGATTGCACCTGGTATTCATCGAAATAATCACAAACTGAAGAGTGGCTAAGGAACCTATGGATCCACATTAATACATAGGTATGAACAGTGAACTCTTAAGATAAAATCTAAAGCGAAATGAGAGGGTAATTCAAATATGTGTCGAAAACCCGCTGAATCAGCATTTTTGAATGCAGGCACAAAATCAAACATGATCGTTTGCGCAACACAGACTGTAGTAAATATCATGTTGGCCATTCTGTTCCCTTCGTATCCATGACAAGGAGAACAAGAGCCCCCAAAACACATTAGAACATCTTGACAAAGTCGATAAATGAGATACTTTGTACAGATAGATCATGTATAGGTAATATCGGTATTAGAAAGTGAAGAACACTATCAGGAAATTAAAAAAAGGTTGCCTTTGTTAAAATGAACCTAT